CGCTCATTGCGTAAGAATCAATTAATATACAGTGTATCATGTTATACTAAATGTAGCTTTAATTAATTCATACTAATCACGTTACATGAGACCGAGGAAAGTTACCCTCATTTTTAGTCTTCATTTGTGGGCGTTAATAGGCTGCATCTACAAGAGTTCATATTACAATATCGCATCGATGAATAATTAATACCGAAATTTATAATGTAAAAATGGGTATCACAACCTATTCATGCTAAAAGTCCATAAAATGTTACCATAATTTGAATATACGCGTCTCACTAATTTTATGCAAAAAATGCAAATTTAAATACCCGATGAGCGTACGTGGGTTGGTAAATTTAAACTTATGGCATGTTTATTTAGGTACTGTTCGATGTTACTCGTATTTTAAACAATAAACTACTCATTTTATGAACGTACAACTGCAATTATTAAAATTTACTTGTAATTTGATATACACCGAAATTTCGGACCGCAAGCTGTTATGTCAAATTCGATTATAATCTGTAGCAAGTTTGGTAAGTAACTTAAAGACCCACACGACACGTACGGTGTGTTTTCCGTAAATAAAACGTGAAGAGACTGTTTAAATATTATGAACATTATTATTGAAGTGTGGCAGTTCCCTAATTGAGAATTTTGCGTTATTGTGAGCAAAAACAATTGATCTTCGCCCACGATCCAACATATTTTTTTGTAACGTGTTTACTGTCTGAGGAATTAAAAGTGGTTAAAGTGCTTATATTCAAAAGTACCAGAATGTTTTTGCACTATATTTTGTTGTAATTTTGACATATTTATTGGATTTGGGAGGCAATAACTGCCTCATACCTTCTTCATCGTACTTTGAAACAGTTACGTACATCTGTAGGTAGGTAGGTACATACTTTGTTACGAGAAACCTAAGATAAAACTAACATGTAGGATTGGTATGAAGTATGAAAATTTCCTTCTATCTGTTTAGGTAATTATTGAATTAAAACGATGTTTGCACAAAAGCTCTTTTGTTTCCAATCGTTTCCAGCTTTTAGGATTATTATAGGAGACATTGGTACCACATTTATTCAGTCAAATTGGTCTGCACCTTGCAAAGTTATAAATTCAATCAAATATCGATTTCATTGCTAATTTGCTATTATCGAATCTCTTCCAAAAGCGTCTGTGCTCATTTTGTGCCATTTTGTTCTTGAGTCATAGAAATTTTTCTTCGACGATTATTATTTGAGTACTCTAATACATACTAAGCATTTTTTCAGACAATTTCAACAAGTTAAAAAGTAATCGTAAACGATTTACATAAAGCGCATTTCCACTTGCATTCATTTCCCATTTGTAAGATGCAACTTCTGTTAAAATCGTAAAAATCCGGCCACAAATATGAAAGATAGCGTTGCACATGGGCAATCCATTTTTGACGTGCTACTTCAATTTCAGTTTATGAGAAGAATTTCATTTCAATGCTTTTCTAAATAAGAAAGTTGGAACTGCGCATGCGCAAACCTAAATTTTAAAACTAATGTTAGATTTTCCTTTGTTCCAAGAGCCTAAGTATCAAATTTCACTTAAATAGTTCCATAGATAAAAAAGTTGGCACTGCGCATGCGCAAAACCAAATTTTGAAA